CCGCCCCCCCCCCGGGAAAAGAGTGCAGTGGTGGTCGGTCCACCTGCCTGCAGTTCCCTTGGCCAGGGCCTTGGCCCTCTGGTCCCCATCGCCTTTGTGGCTCTTCATTGCATAGAAACACCTGGAGTTTCTGTTGGTTTTATTCTGTTCGTCTTTCATAGTCTCAGCAGGAGAACTGGGTCTAGTCCGGCTTCCTTTTCACAACGGGAAGTCCCACCTGAGGAGTAGCTGTGGTCGGTCCACCTGCCTGCAGTTCCCTTGGCCAGGGCCTTGGCCCTCTGGTCCCCATCGCCTTTGTGGCTCTTCATTGCATAGAAACACCTGGAGTTTCTGTTGGTTTTATTCTGTTCGTCTTTCATAGTCTCAGCAGGAGAACTGGGTCTAGTCCGGCTTCCTTTTCACAACGGGAAGTCCCACCTGAGGAGTAGCTCACTTATTTCTGGAAGGGCATCTGTTCATGCCATCTGCTCCTCTCTCCCCAGGATGCAGTGTCAGCCTTACTCGCAAGAACATCGGCGGAACTGCTGGCCGTGGAACAAGAATTAGCACAAGAAGGAGAAGAACCGGGGCCAGGAGAGGAGCAAAGGGGCCCAGATGGAGACTGGTAAGGCCCTCCCCTCCTTTTGCTGTTGGGAGCTCAAGGAGGATGCACTCCGTTTCTCATAAGACACTTTCAGCCCAGCCTGTGGCTCAGTGGTTGAGTGTCGACCTAGGAACCTGGAGGTCATGGTTCTATTGATCAGGGCACATGGCTGGGTTGCAGGCTCGATCCCCGGGAGGGGGCGTGCAGGAGGAGGCAGCCAATCAATTATATATAAAAAATTTTAATTTTAATTTTTATGTATAACTAGAGGCCTGGTGTGTGAAATTCATGCACTGGGAGCGGGGGGAGGGGGAGTGTCCCTCAGCCCAGCCTGCACCCTGTCCAATCCGGGAGCCCTCAGGGATGTCAGTAGAGTTTGTACAGAACACATATGTTGTGAAGCCCCCACGTATCACAGCACCCAGACCCATGCCATGGCTTTTGTTGACGACAGGGTCACACGGCTTGAAGGGTCTTCTGTTATTTCAATAGTAAAACTCCCTTCCCACGGGTTCCGCCCCTGCGGACCCTGAGCACAGGGGATCGTGGGTATTTTTACTCCTCGTGTCTTTATCCACGCTTAGCAGAGAGTCACTCTGTTCCATTCTACAGTTAAGTTTACAAGACATGGCCCAGCCAGCATGGCTCAGTGGTTGAGCGCCAACCTAAAAACCTGGAGGTCACGGTTCGATTCTCGGTCAGGGCACATGTCTGGGTTGCGGGTTCGATCCCCAGTGTGGGGTGCGCAGGAGGCAGCCAATCAATGATTCTGTCTCATCGTTGATGTTTCTGTCTCTCTCTCCCTCTCCCTTCCTCCCTGAAATGAATAAAACTATATTTTAAAAATTTTTTTACAAGACACGGACAACTAACACCAAGTTATATTCTAGGGCAGGGATGGGCAAACTTTTTGACTCGAGGGCCACAATGGGTTCTTAAACTGGACCGGAGGGCCGGAACAAAAGCATGGATGGAGGGTTTGTGTGAACTAATATAAATTCAACGTAAACATCATTACATAAAAGGGTACGGTCTTTTTTTTTTTTTTTTTTTTAGTTTTATTCATTTCAAACGGCTGTTCTAGGGAGTGACAGTATTTTAAATGGCGGGGCTAACCTTAATATTTGATTTTCAGTATATTTCTATTTTAATCCGTAGGAATTAGGTCAAATTGCATGAGTTTGGCATTTTCGTACCTAACTATGGTGACCTTGCTGTCGGTTGCTGGAGAGAACTTTATTTTTCATGATCATTTAGTAAACAAGGCTTGGATCGTGATGTGTGTCCGGGGTTCCCTGCCCTGGTACCAGGTGGACGTCCCAGGGTGCACTGTGCTGGGACACGCCGGCTGGACTTACAGCGTGTCTCGCTTCATTTCTCCGAAGGTTGGCGATGCTGAGAGAGGCCTCTGACGAAGTGGTGGCTGAGGAAGAGGCCGAGGTGGCGTTGCCCGGGGGCAGCCGGCGAATGGGAGACCTAAGCTCGTGCCCGAGTGTGCCCGAGACAGCTGAAGACACGAGGAGGGGAGGAAACATCTGTGCCAGCAGCCCTGGCAGCCAGCCCCCTCTGGGAATGCCCACCCTGGTGAGGACTTCCAGCTGCACTCTCCCCAGGCAGGGCTCTTACAGGCACCCTGTCGGCTGAGTTTGTCTCTTCGGGTATAACCACACCAAGACTTGGCGGAAGCTGATCGCCGCAGCATCGGTGGAGTCGGCTGTCAGAAGCATCGTAAATGCTTTAAAATTGTACCAGGTGTACCGGTTAATAACGTGGGTTTTGTAATCAAAGAAAACACAATAATTTCAAGAGAAACATCAAAAGTGCTTTATTCAAAGTAATATCCATTGCTAGCTACATATTTCCCCCATCTTTCAGGTAATTTGTGAATACTATCCCAATAGAACTTTTCTTGTTTTGAGGCAAACCATTCAGAGACCCAATTTTCCACTTCTTTGTACATTTTGAAGTGCTGCTCAGATTCACCTGGTTTAGAAGCTCATACTACACCACACCTTCCTGATCCCACCAAACGCAGAGCATTGTCTTCTTTCTGAAGCGATTTGGCCTTGTAGTCGATGTTGATGGTTGACCTGGATCAACCCCTGATTTTGTGCGTTTGGGATTCTCAAAATAAATCTACTTTTCACCGCCAGTCACAATTCGATGCAAAGAAGACTTTCGTGCTGTTGAAGCAAAATTTTAATGATGACTTTTCGGTTTTCCATTTGTCTTTCGTTCAGGTGATGTGGCACCCATTTTCCTTCCTTTAAAGTCTTTCCCATTGCTTGTAAATGATCAGAAATTGTTTGCTGAGCAACGTTTAATCTTTCTGCAAGTTGTTTTTGAGTTTGACACACATCTTCATCCAATAATGCTTGTAATTGTTGGTCTTCAAGCTTTTTTGGTTGACCTGGACGTTCTTTGTCTTTCACATCGAAAGCATCACTTTTAAAGCGTTTAAACCAGTGTTCACAAGTATCTTGAGATGGAGCATGTTCACCATAAGCTTCCCAAAGTATACGATAACTTTCAGCAGCACTTTTCTTCAAAATGAAGTAATGAATTAAAACTTCCCACAAATGCTCTTTTTTGGCACGAAATTTGACATTTTAAAGCATAAAAATATCTATGATGTGAACACCTTCAGAAAATTTGACATATGAAGTTTTAAAGCGTGCTGTCAATACAACAAAATAGCATACATATCAAATCGCATATAAACATATGTGTAACTCCATCTATTGAAAAAAATCCGCATTATTAACTGGTATACCTGGTACATGGGCCCCAAATAGTCATTCCCCACTTAGCTTTTATGTGAGAAGGTAAATAGTGGTACTTGGATCTGGTAACTGCTCTGTGAGTGTGTATTAAAAGCATTTTCAGAATTTCCCGGGTAACATCAGGATGAGTACTTAATTGCATTAAGTTTCATAAATGTTGTAAGTTTATTTCCATTTCAAACGTGCAGTAAACGTTTAAAGTTCATGCCTGTTAGAGGGTGTTCTGATTGGAGGTGGCAGATGACCCAGTCCCGGCACAGGCTAGTTCAGTGGCAGACACATTGAGAGACATTGTGTTCAAGCTTTGAAGGTGCCGGCAACTTGGGATGTTATAACAAGCTTAGACAAATCCTTATTCCTGAGAAAAGCAATACCGCATGTTCCCTGGCTGAAGACTTCATGTGGGTGGGTACGTATAGCTGCATAGTCCACGTAAGCCTATAACTTTGCAGTAAATTTCATTTTCTTGTTTAATTACCTTTATCATTTATTCTGGAAAAAGCACTCATCCGTTGAATGCTATTTAATGATGAGGCATGTCCAGATAAGATTGTTCATAGAGCCCCGTTTACCTTCTGTCAACGGAAACCTTCATTCTTTAGGCCTAATCTGTTAGGACAGAATTCACCCTACCTACGCCCTCCGTGGTCGTCTCCTGGGGTCCCATCAGGAGTCACGAGGCCCTTCTCTCAGAAGAGGCCCTAGTGCTAGATGGGCCTGTGGTGTAAGGTTGGGTCTTTCTTTTGTCCTTAGAAGAACGGGGCGTAAATGAGCCCACGTGTGTCAGCCCCTGACAAAGGCCTTCCATTGCAGGTTGATAAGGAGACCAACACAGAGGAGGCCGAGGACGCTGGCCTGGCCGTTCGGCCCAAAGAGCGCAGCGGGCTGAGCGTGCGGCAGCGCCCCCTGGTGAGGAGCAGCGTGATCGTGCGCTCGCAGACCTTCTCGCCGGGGGAGCGCAGCCAGTACATCTGCCGGGTAAGGACTGGCCCTGCCCGGGGCGGAACATGGGACATGCCCGGGACATGCACATGTGGTGGGCATCTCAAACTCCGACCACAGACAGGAACCGCTAGGAGCGCTTTCATAAAATACTCATAAATATCACACTCTGTGGTTCGTTTTAGTTTGGTTTTGGGGTTCCCCCCCCTTTCCTAAATTTAATGTCTCATTGGCTCTCGGGCCATTTATTTGGCAAATACGTGAAGTTGCAGACCTGGCTACTGAGTACACATGGACTTCGGTCTGTATTTAGAAACTGCAGGTGATCTGAGGGTTATCTTTTGTAGACCTCTGTGCACGTTATGCACCACGTTGGGCCTGCTGGACCAAAAACTGGGAATTGGGTTTTAGAACCAAGTCATCTTTTAGTGATGGCGCTAGGCACCGAGTCAGATTGACAGTTCTGTGGCGAATGTTGGGGGACTCGTACCAATTTACCCACCTCTAGTTCCAGTAGAATTTATGACTGCTAGTAATAGAGGTTCAGTATTATAAAATGGGGTGGAAGGCACTGTTAAAATGTATTTGTTTGATTCAACAAATGTGTTTATTAGCACCTGCTGTTAAGTATGTTTCTAGCTCCTTGGGACCTGTCTGAACCAGAGACCCAAGCTCTGCCCTTGCAGAGCTGCGTTCTTGTGGGCCGAGCCCAGCGATGAGCAGTGGACACGATGTGTCTGGGGTGGGGACAGGGCTGTGAAGACGAGGGGCTGGGATGCTGAGGCGAGGGGCGCGGGTTTAAGCAGGTTCGAATGGGCTTCACGTCAGAGGTGATATTTCAGCAACTCCCTGGTGCCGGCGAGGGGGAGCGAATGGGCTGATGGGGCTAAGGGTTGTCTAGGTTGTGCAAACTGTGTCTCAACACCAACCTGTACATCAGCTTTTCTTTTAAAAATAAATGTTGTGGGCCCTAGCCAGTTTGGGTCAGTGGATAGAGCGTCAGCCTGCGGACTGAAGGGTCCCAGGGTCGACTCTGGTCAAGGGCACATGCCTGGGTTGCGGGCTCGATTCCCAGTAGGGGGAAATGCAGGAGGCAGCCAATCAATGATTCTCTCTCATTGTTGATGTTTCTGTCTCTCTCTCCCTCTCCTTCCTCTCAGAAATCAATTTTAAAACATAAACTTAAATAAATGTTGGGGGGAAAATAAATAAAATTAAATAAATGTTGCGTATTATCTGAAAACGAAAAGGATCATTTTCTGCCAGAGTCTGTGCAGTTATCTTAACCATGACTTCCGATAACTGCCACCAAAAGGCACTTGTTTAAATTATTCCCAAAGATTAAGTCATTTAAGGAAAAAATGGCACAGGGCAAAGCGTGTTTGGGGAGGATTTTCTGTAAGAGATAAGCTGTTATCACCATCCCTTTGTCGGCTCTGTTACGCAGTGATTTTCTTTCTTTTTTTAATCCTTTATTCCAGTTAAATCGCAGTGACAGTGACAGCTCAACTCTGGCTAAAAAGTCTCTGTTTGTGAGAAACTCCACCGAACGGCGCAGTTTGAGGGTCAAAAGGGTACGTATTCCGTCAGCACAGCCCGGTCCTACCCCATCCGGAATCCTGGCTGCCACACGTCCGCGCCGACTGGCTCTTGGGCTCCTGGGCTCTTGAGTGAAGCCGCTGTGATGACAGCGATGCACATGTTCCAGACCGTCATGCTAGGATGTTCAAGTTTCAGTCCCTTCTCTCTTCTGTCAAATAGTCCAGCTTCTATTAGTAATCTCCTATTTTCCATTCCCACTGCCAGCTCTGTAGGCAGGAAGTGCCCTCCTGTTCCCCGGGTCTCACCCGGCCTCCTTTGAAGTCCTGTCCCCCGGCCAGTCCGGCCCAGGCTGAGCGACCACCCTCCCCTGACGTCCTGCGCACAGCGGTCCCACCTCACAGTCTCCTATGTCCTCTAACTCCTCCTCAAGGTCACACACTGACCTCCCCTCCCCTGAGATCCTGTGGCACAGCAGCCCCCACCTCACAGTCTCCCATGTCCTCTAATTCCTCCTCAAGGTCACACACTGTGTCCTCTTCCTAGGGTTTTGCCTACAGACCCCAGCAGACATTCATTCATACATATTCAGGTTATTTCTTAATAAACAGATAAGACTGGCTGCAGGAAGAATAGCCGAGATGCGGGGGTGAGAGCTGACATGAGATGATGGGAAACAGAGGAAGGAGCCAGGATTGAAGCGTTGCTTAGAGGAGGGATCAGATCTGAGCCCCGCCGACCGCGGCCTTCTGGCCGTCACTCCCAGGCATGAAGGCAGAAGGTGTGAGTGCGGGGAGAGTGTGTCCTGAAATGGAGGACGTGTAGGTTCCGCACTCATTGGTTTCCCCAGAGGGCGGCCTTCCTGCAGCCGAGTGCCAGGCCGAGGGGCTCTGTGGTGATAACGGGAAGTCTCAGGTTGGCACAGTGAAGGTTTGCTTCTTGCTCGGCACTTGCTCGTGCCGTTCGGCTGGGTGCCCTGCTGCTGTGGTCCTCCTCGGGACCGCCTCGGGTGCAGCGGGTGCGAGAAGCGTGCAGACTGACACGGGCGTTGAAAGCTTCCGCGGGGAGTGACTCCTGCCGACCCGTCACTGGCCAGGGCTCGTCACTCGGCAGGCGCGGCCTCCCCCGGGAGCCAGGAGCTGCCACCCCCGGTGCCAGGAAGCAGGGGCGGCGGGTGATGGGGGCGGCGCGCTCAGGGTGTTCGCGGTTTGTTTTCCAACCCCCCAGGCGGTTTGCCAGCCCGTCCTCCGAAGAGCGGCCCAGGAGTGCCCGGTGCGCACGTCCCTGGACCTGGAGCTGGACCTGCAGGCCTCGCTCACCCGCCAGAGCCGCCTCAACGACGAGCTGCAGGCACTGCGGGACCTGCGGCAGAGGCTGGAGGAGCTGAAGGCCCAGGGCCAGACGGACCTCCCGCCCGGCGTGCTGGAGGACGACCGGTTCCAGAGGCTGCTGCGCGAGGCCGAGAAGCAGGTACAGCCCCGGGCGCCGGCTGTGAGGGGTGCGGGGGGCAGGGGGCAGCATGCAGACCCATCCCTCCAAGACCACCGTGGGGAGGTGCCAGCTCCCTCCTCAGCTGGCTTGGCTCTTCAAACCCCTTTCCAACAGCTTGGAGCACCTTCCTGTTGTGGCCTTTTTAAACCCAGGATGTAGCTGCGAGGAGTCCTGCCACCCGGTGCCGTGAGAGGGCCGCCCCTCCACCCCCCATCCCGCAGCCGCTCTGGGGCCACTGGCCTCCTGACCCAGGGGAGTGTGCAGCGAGGGCAGCGGTTCTCACTTCTGCTCCACGTTTTCCTTCGTCTCCATGTGAGACTTGTCAGATAAACACAGTAAAACTTTTAACACCAGTGGTCACCTGTGTTTGAAATTGCGTGGCCACATCCCCACGCAATTCTGTTACCTTCAAGGTGGGTCCTGCTGCACACATTCTCCCTTTACACAGTCCCCCTACAAATGGCTGTATAAAACAGCATAGAAAATCCCTGACTTAAAAATAGGGTCTTTTAAAGGGATATTTCTGTTAGTCTTCCTCCTAAATAGAAAGTTCAAGAGACCTCATATTGATGACATTGATTTATTCTCTCAAGGTTAGAGTTTATATTTTAGTATAGGAGCATATGTTTACATCTATAATATTAAAGTGTAATATGCTAATTAGACCGGACGTCCTTCCAGACGAAGCCATGGCTGCGGCAGGGGCCAAGCCCTTTGCACGAATTTCATGCATCGGGCCTCTAGTCAACATATAATATACAAATAGAATTGTCCGTGTAGCTGAAATATTACATATGCCAAAACATTATTTTCTTTCAACCCTTTGGATGGAAATCTGAAATAGATTCGTCATATCCCTAAATCTAATAGACTCTTCTGTCCATAATATAAACTCCCCTTTTCGGCCCAAAGTGATTTCTTAATCATATAGAGTATGGTACTTTAATGAAACTTTGAGTCATTTAACTGACTAGCACTACTAATTCTAGATGGAACTCAGAAACTTAATGTATGAATTTCAGAGATCAACCTGATACCAATGACTTTTAAAGAAAGTTTAAGCAGCAAAACCCATTACATATCTGTATTATATCCCTCCTGATATAATGCACATAGGATCTCAGAGGATGTCTGTTCCACAGGGAGTTGAATAGTAGGTCTCCTATTAGATGCCACAGCAGATAACAGGGTAATTAGACACTGTCATGCCCTTAAAGGGCTTGTGGTTTGGTATAGGAGATGAGCCAGGAAGGCTTCCTGGAGGAAGTGGCATTTCCCTGGTCTGGAAAGTGGGTGGTGAACTTCGTCCCAGGCAAGGGTGCAGAGGCCAGCAGTGGGGTTCCCAGCACTGACAGCACAGGCCCTGGAGCGCTCCCAGCAGGGAAGGGCCACGGACGGGAGCGTGTAGGACAGCAGTCTTTCTGCAAAATGGGATGTTGAGTTAAAGGCCGAAATGCCCTCGCCCTATGTTTGTGACCTTAATAACCTTCATCGTCTTCACTCTCGAGTCTTTCAACTCAACATTAGCACTAATTCCAAACGGTTGGTTGACATTGACCAACTTTAATATCCTGAAGAAGCATTGCAGCCTCTCATCCTCGTGGGTCAAAGGTTTGCAAAGCTGGGTTCGAGTTTTACAGCTGTAGACATGAGCAGGACTTTACATCTTCGCATCTCTGTAAACAGAGACTGTTCCAAGTCAGGTGCTGGTGACTCGGCTGGTCCCCGAAGGAGCGTAGGGAATCGGGAAGTTCTGTTTCCCATCTGGAGGGGTGGCCTGGGTGTGTCCAGACTGTAGAAGTTCTCTGAGCTGCACACTTATGTCACCTTTTGGGAATGTGAATTCTGTTTTCGTTAATAGCTTTTAAATGGCTAAGACAGAGAGAAAGGGGTTGAAAAGGTGGATAAGGGGTTGAAAGTACGTTTCCCAGAACGTCAGCAGTAGACGTGCCTTGGACACGATGCTAGGGTAGTTTTTCATTTCCTTTCTGAGGGCGCTGAGGTTTTCCAGCTCATTAACAGTCGCCCTGCCTGGGAAACAGGCATTTTTAATGCGATACCACGGACAAGCCCGAATCCGTGGCCGCTGCTCCGCCGCAGGGTCTGGCACATGAGTGTCGTCCGCGATGGTGAGAAGACTCCCTGCCGTTGGCCGCTGAGGTGCCCGCTGGCTTGTTTGTATCCGTGAAGCCTGCAGCCGTCTCTGGGCGTCTCTGATTGGGGTCTATTCCTTTGCCAGGCTGAGCAGTCCAAAGAGGAGCAGAAGCAAGACCTGAACGCGGAGAAACTGCTGAGGCAGGTCTCCAAGGACGTGTGTCGGCTGCGGGAGCAGAGCCGCAAGGTGCCTCGGCAGGTGCAGTCCTTCAGGTAACCGGCCCCGGCTCACGTGGGGGCGGGTCACGTCGGGGTCCTCACACGTCTGATCACAGAGGGGTCCCCGCAGAGTGCCCTGGGCCTTAGTGTCAGGGTGCGAGGCGCCCAGCCCTCCCCCCAGGCGGGACGGATGAGTTTCCCCTTGCTCCTCCGGGGCCAGAGGAGCTGGTGGGGTGCCCACGGGGTACGCCCGACGGAGGGAAAGGCAGCGGAGGCGGCGTGGGCTTCAGACTCTGAAAGACGAGCCTGGGCCACAGACTCCATGGTGAAGAGCTGCGTTCCTCCCGCCCCGCCCCTGCAGACGCACTGTGACAGGGCAGTGCTCCCCGGGTCCCGCTCGGCATGAGGGGGTCTGTGCGCCCCCGGTGCTGTGGGCACCAGGAGGTGCTCCAGCAGGGAAATCGCACGACTTGGCTGCTGCCGAAACCCAACATAGAGGTTTATAAACGCTCCCCTGGCCCTTAACGTACAAGCCCGTTACACCCCCCGCAGGTGATAGAGACGCGTGAGCTGGGCCGGCTGGGGGCGAGGTGGGGAGCGTGGACTGGCGCCTGCGCCCGGCTGCCGTTGCACTTGGAGCCAGAGCTGGGGGTCCTTCCCGCTGTGAAGGGCAGAGGCCCTTGATTTTAAGCGGAGGTCTCCCTCAGGACAGCAGCTCGAGGGGACTCCGCAGGAGGCGGGGACTGTTTCTGCTGGGCGCAGTGTGTTCAGCGCCACACTGAGGGGGGTTGTTCCTCACCCCGACTCTAGGGAGAAGATCGCCTACTTCACCCGAGCGAAGATAAGCATCCCGTCGCTGCCGGCCGACGACGTGTGACACGTCCTGCAGACATGATGTCTCCCCGGCCCCTGAGGGAGGAAGAGACTGAGCCCTGGTCTGTGGGTGTGTCTGGGGGGAGGGTGTGTAACTGTCAACTCTTAAAGAGCTGTTATTTCTCATCAGAATTCCGACATGCTAATTTGTTAAGTACTTGGAATATAATTCTTATATAAAAAAGTAAGAAAAATCAGGTAACAAGCGGGCTAGTCTGGTACCAGATGTTGTGCAGCAGGAGTGGGTTGTATACAGGGAGCCGGGCGGAGCCAGGGCTGACCTGGCGAACCGGCCGAGGCGGCTCTTGCTCTTCCCGGTTTTCCTGCGAAGGCCGGAAGCTGGCCCGAGCGCCCGCGGTGTCTTGTCCTCGAGAGCAGCAAGTTCAACGTGAATGAGCTTCGGAGCGGAGCGCCAGGGCCGCCTGCAGCAGGTGCTGTGTTCACCTCCGTCACCTGTTGGACACCCGTTTCCTTAGAGCAGTTTCTTTTTTGTCTTTGTTTGTTTGTTTGTCTAAAGAAAACAAAATGCTGAGTTCAAGCACATAGGATGCAGACCTGGGAGCAGGCTCCTGGCTGCACGGAAGGCCTCACAGCCTCTGACCCCGAGGGCAGGGGAGGTGCCTGCAGCCACGGAAACACGCTCCCCTGCCCCACAGGCTGTGGGGGCGGTCAGGTGTGAGTCCGGCTCGTCCGGGGCGTGGGATGGTGTCAGTAGAGGAAGGTGGTGGCCCTCGTCCTAAGGACAGAACTGAAGGCGGGGAGGGAAACCCATCGGCATCCGTGTGGTGAAACCAGGAGCAGAGGAAAGGGTATCCTGATTGAACCAAAGGTGCCAAAACACACACAAAGAACTTAAGTCCTTTCTTAAACAGGTTTGTAACATTTCGTGGCAGCTCCTTGCAGCCGCAGTGAGGGGATCCTGTCTCTCTGGGAGGAGCTGGGAGGCAAGGAGAAGAGAGTGCCTGGGAGACTGGACTTGCAACGCTGGCTAAGCCATCTGTCTCGAACAGAGCCGTTGCGGATGGACGCTTAGAGCTGTTGACACGTCCCTGCAGCGTCTCCCAGCGCAGAGTTCCAGCTGCCCCAGCCCAGGCCTCCCTAGAAGGAACAAAACCCCAGTGCAGCCCACCAGCATGTAGGCGTTTAAATCGTTCTATGCAATTTAATACTCAGTTTGTAATACTGGAAGAGGCCATTTTTGACCAGCCATCTTTTATAGCAAACTAAATCCTTTTTTTTAGAGATGCAAAAATCATCTTAAAGGAATAGGCCCCTTTAAACACACACTCACACACACACACACACACACACAAGTTCTGTTTCTAAGCAAGAATCCTCAATAGCAAGAATTTTTATTTTCTTGAAAGCAGTTACACATATTTCAGAAAGTGAATTTTATCAGAATCAAAATTCAAATGAAGCAGTTTCTGAGCCTTGAACTTGATTGTTTCCTGAGTGTCCCACCACTTACATACAAATGTCTTTGAAGCTATAACTGGACGTGACACTATGAGCAAAAACCAGCTTTATGAATTGACCACATACAGTCCTTCGGGTCTGCCCAGTCCATTCTCTCAGCCAGTTGAGGAAAACTACAGAAGAATGCCATCCATCCTTGTCAAGGTCAAATGTGAAAGAGAAGTTTATTTAATGTAGAGATAAATGAAGGTCAGCTGTTTTCAGCTTCTTAGTTTGACCATGAAAATGTTTATAGAATTATGTGTAGTTGTACCGTACGATTTTATTTTCTTCACTTATTTATTTACGGTCTTATTTATGTTCTGTTTAATATATAGTTCGGTTCTGGCCATTGAAAATGTTTGACATAGAAGAAGCTATATTGGAATATTTACAGCTTTATAAATCACCAGATCAGCTGTTAACTTTTTGCAATACAGAAAGTTTCAGACGAGTATAAGCAAATAAAATCTGTCTCCGGCTGGTAGGTAGCAGTTGTGACCAAGAAGCTTTCACTTTTATTTTACAAAATTTGCTTATTTCTAACACAAGAGATAAACTTATTTTAATATAATCCTGTTCCACACTTTAAAAATCAGCCATAGTGTAATACATTTATAGGAAGCTTTTAACAATCCTGTCACATTTGTACTAACCCAAATGACTCACAGGGACACATTTTAATAACTTGATCACAAAACCATATGGACAATATGAATTTTAATACTATAAATGCTATTTTTTAAAGGTAGAATTTATTCTGCACAGGGTAAAAAGAATGTAATATTTAGTTCTCAAGTTTGAATTATCAACATGTTACTACAGTTTTGTATATCAGAATCTAAGTGTTACAGGTACAAAAGCATACTGCTAGCCAAATGAACAAAGTTTAGCTGAATCTCTGTCGCATACAAATCAAAAAAATTTAAAGTCCTTTTTTTTTGCTATTACTTTATATTGTATTAAATATCAAAAGCTCAGGACTGAACTAAATATTTAATCAGGTTAAATTCTGAATATGTTTCTGTTTTAATTTGTCTTGTTTGTAAAAGTGTGCAAATATATCACATAGATTAACTGGTTTCTGCACTTTTCATGTATTTGTGGGTGGAAAATATTCAGTGGTTTTTGTTTTGTTTTTGTTTTTGTTTTTTCAACAAAGATACATATTCCCTAAGACTTTATTTGTGTCATTTGTTGCTCAGGTAATTTCCCTGATTGGCTCAAACACAAGAATTGACTTGACCTGTGTACAGAACAAATATAAAATCTTTCATGAAGAATCCCCCAGGCCATCAGTTTGTTGTGGATACTTCTTGGTTGGAGGATATGCATTGCTGATTTTTTTTTTTTTTTAAAAAAGGCAGAATATTTTCATTGTGCAAGTAAAACAAGGGCTCCATATGAGCTCTGCCCACACACCCAGACCGGGCTGGCCTGCAGCGCCCCCTGCAGGGGAGGGCAGGGGGGGGGCGAGCGTTCACCATCTGCTGTAGAGCACAGGGTCCAGATGCAAAAGCAGGCTTCTGGGTGGGTTTTAGTGACCCTTCCAATACTCAAGTCTGCCCTCCCCTGCCCCTAGCCTGGGGCAGAGGCATAAGTCAGAGGCCAGAACCCCTGAGGTCTCTGGTTAAAGACATGATGTGTCCACGTCTCTCACCTCTCCAGCTTTCACAGAGCAGCCGTTTTTTTAGTTTAATCAGATGTCATACAGTTTAAATAAATATGCCGTGAGCCTGTTTCTGTAGAGTAGGTCATCTCAAACACTGGAGAGAAGGGCTTGATGAGCAGTAACATCTCCCACTGCCAGAATGACCCGTCTCTGAGTAACACCTTCAGGGGCGGAACACGGGTAGAATGTTTCATTTACCAGTTCTGTGCAGTCACTGGGTCTACATCAAAAGTGAGGACACTCCTCCGCAGAAACGAGCTTGATTACTATTAAGTCTTGATTGGTTTTGGCCTCAGAGTAGAAGATAAAAGTGGTTTACCGCCTGGGAAGGAAATCACAGTTCAAGGAGCCAGTCGCCACTGGGGAAAATGCATGTTAGAAAGCTGCTAGTGTCGTGCCTGGGTGACCAGGCAGCAGGGAATCCTACCCGGTCCCGGGCTCAGCAAGCGTCCCCTGCGCCGTGGCCGCCTGGATCCTCGGGCTTAGACTGTCAGCCGAGTGTTTTTCATCTCCAGGGGGTGACGGAGATACTGCGTTTCTGCCGCCGGGAACTGGCCCGCAGCCAGCGGAGCCTGGGTGCAGCAGGCGGCCCAGGTCACCAGGCACCCCCCGAGGAGGAGAGAGAACCCAGCGAACCAGCCCAGGAAGAGGGCTTCCCCGAACTCCCACCTGGGCACAACCTCCGGGAGGGTCTCGTCCCAGAACTCCTGCACGGTCACGTGGGCGACCCAGGAGACTGGCACCAGGACCCCGACGCCCGCCGTCCAGAACAGGACCCCTCCCAGGATCAGCAGCCGCTTCTTCCGCTCTCGCTGTCTCTCTCCGACTCTCAGGCAGTCCAGCCCAGACCCCGAGACCAGCAGGCCCAGGAGCCCCAGCCCGTGGGACAGGAACATCAGGACCCTGGAGACCCGGAGCTCCACGGGCAGGGCCAGGAAGGAGTCAAAGTCCTTGCATTCCATCCCCACCTCTTCCTGGACGACGCAGACTTGCCACAGGCCCTGGGTCCAGATCTCCATCTCGTTCAGCTCCAGGTTCAGGTTCTTCCAGTACGGCAGGTAGTTGGTGAGACAGGCTAAAACCCACCCCAGCAAAGATAACGACATTCCAGCTAATTGGGCCACAGTTCTAAATACGAAAGCCATTACCGTGAAGTCCCGTGAGCTTTCGCCCAACTCACTGCTGCCTCTGGGTTGCTGTGAAAAGTGTGACGGACTTCGGTTATCACCTGCAGAGCTCAGAAATCTTTTTTCATTGTGTGTATAAGAGGATTCTTGCCAGAGTGGCTATTGTTTGATTCCATGCTGAATGGGTTTCAGGAAAGGAAAGGGAACTAATTCTGCAAACCAGTCATGTCAAGGAGTGGCCAAGATCAATTTTCTAGTAAGCAGTTTGTCCCTGAAATAACACGAAGCAGTAAGAACCTCCTTTCATTGTTAATGTCTCAATGGCTTTCGTCCGATTCCCAGCCTCCTTGCAAGTCAAAGCACAGAGAAGTCTGAATGCAAAACATGTAATTGACAGTTCAGGTTCAGCTCCTGCCGCTTTCTCCCCGGCTAATCGCACCTGCCCGGCCTCCACCCGTGACGGCTCTCACATTTCAGGAATGCGTTGTGGTAACACCGAGTGTTATCGTTAAAAAAAAAAAAAAAGTTCAAGAAAAGTATTTCTTAACCAAATGAATCCATCTCCTCAGAAATCGCTCTAGATCTTAAATCAGGCCTACTTTAAAAAAATTCCTTAGGCTACATATACCACGTAACATCTGAAATGATACTAAACACGCTCTCAAGTCTGATTACCCACAGTCCCCTCTGTCAGAGCCCGCCCAGGAGCGCCAACACTCGCTTCTTTTTGCCTGCCATGTGCTCTCCACGCTGTGGCAGAGGGAGACAACGGAACTTGTAGATTAGCACCAACATCTCTTGCTGCAGCACTAAAGTATAAAGCTTGTAATTTTGTTCGTCTGTTTTATTGTTGTTAATCCTCACCTGGGGATATTTTTCCATTGATTTTCAGAGAGAGAGTGGAAGGGAGGGGGAGAGACGGAGAGAGAGAGAAACATCCATGTGAGAGAGACACATCGATTGGTTGCCTCCCACATGCCCTCTCCCCCGACCACCCGACCGGGGCTGGGGATCGAGCCTGCAACCGAGGTATGTGCCCTTGGCCAGAATCGAACCCGTGACCCTTCAGTCTGCGGGCTGACACTCTATCTACTGAGCCAAACCGGCTAGGGCTAAAGCTTGTAATTTTTAACTGAACAAAGGAAAGTTTTTCTCAGGGCAAGTGAACTGTCACTATGTCAATATCAAGCAAAAGTTTTTCATTGTTTATCTTTGTAATAATGAAGCCTTTGAGGGATGAGACGAAAGAGGAAATTGGCCAGTATTTAGAATCGGAGAGCATCATGATGTAAAAACCTTTTAGCCTCATAAACCCTGTCACTCACACCCGTTGCCTTGTAATTTCCTAAACACAAACCACCTCTGATCAGAGAACAAAGTCACTGTTGTGGAAATTACACTTCGGAATGAGTTTAACCTGTGGCTTTGCCAATGTAGAGTCTCAGTTTGTTAGTTTTTCTCTTTAGGAAACAAAGTAATTATTATTTCCAGTTACCAACAAAAGCAAACAAAAACGATTCTAATGTAAAATAAACACATTAAAACTTAATACGGACCATATTGGACAACCACCACCAGTTTTATTTAAATAACCAGATCAATTACTTTTTTTCTTGCTCAGGCCTATGTAATGCTTAACATAGTAATTTTCTTGTAGATATGAGACTGCCTCTTCTCCAGATTTTTTGGGGGGAGAGGGAGATCTAGGATAAAAAAGTAATTATTAAACTGATAAGAACAGATACTACACTTGATCTTAGCCAAAAGGCCGAGAAGCGATAAAAAAAGTATTGTATGAGAAAAAGTGAGCAGCGCAGCAAAGACCCCTTTCCCGTGCGGACCTACAGCACTGTTGGTGCGGAAGAGAGGTCTCCCTGGTCTTGTCCAAGCCACACTTTCGGAGCCGCAGTCCCATTTTCCAGGCATGGACACTGCGTCTGCGTGTCTGCCGCCGCGTACTGGCCCGCAGCCAGCGGAGCCTGGGTGCAGCAGGCGGCCCAGGTCACCAGGCACCCCCCGAGGAGGAGAGAGAACCCAGCGAACCAGCCCAGGAAGAGGGCTTCCCCGAACTCCCACCTGGGCACAACCTCCGGGAGGGTCTCGTCCCAGAACTCCTGCACGGTCACGTGGGCGACCCAGGAGACTGGCACCAGGACCCCGACGCCCGCCGTCCAGAACAGGACCCCTCCCAGGATCAGCAGCCGCTTCTTCCGCTCTCGCCATCTCTCTCCGACTCTCAGGCAGTCCAGCCCAGACCCCGAGACCAGCAGGCCCAGGAGCCCCAGCCCGTGGGACAGGAACATCAGGACCCTGGAGACCCGGAGCTCCACGGGCAGGGCCAGGAAGGAGTCGAAGTCCTTGCATTGCCTCCCCACCTCTTCCTGGACGACGCAGGCCTGCCACAGGCCCAGGGTCCAGTTCTCCATCTCATTCAGCTCCAGGTTCAGGTTCTTCCAGTGCGGCAGGTAGGTGGTGATCATGGATAAAACCCACCCCAGCACAGACAGTGCAAGTCCAGCAAATTGCACGACCGCTCTCAGGACGAAAGCCATCGCAGCCAAGCTCGCGCCTCCCGCCGCCCCTACAGGAGCCGCTGTCTGTGGGGACGCGTGTGCCGGTCGGCCTCGGGGCGATGCTGCCTGGGATATAAGCTTGGGGCATTGCCGCCTGGTCATTCGCTCCTTGGCCACTCTGAAGTGCGTGTTTGTTCTTGAATATAGTGTTTCATGTAAAGGATGAGGGGCTCCGCGAACACTGCGCGTTAGGCCTTCTGATAAGGAGCTGACCTGCTGGTAAAACTATACCCCCAATGCTCGATGGTACGAAGGCTGAGGATGAACAAAGGGGCCTCTGTGACCCTCACCCTAAAGGACAACAGAAATCTTTGTGCTTCAATATGGATTAATTAGATTTTAAGTGGTGATAAAAGGCCAGCTCTCTGGGTAACAGGACTTCATTGTGGCAGCTGAACCTGAGATTTCAGGATGCAGAACAAGCCCCTGCAAGGAAAGGCGGGCTCCCTATAATCTCCGCTCTGCACGGACCTCCTCAACCTACAGAGCGCCTGGCCCCCGCTCTGGAGTGTCCCGGGGATTCGGGACTTGGCAGGAGCGGCGCCCCCGGATTCCTGTGAAAGGTGGACGCGGGTTCACTGGGTTAGTTAAAATGGCACGACGGAGGGGGTGCCCACAGGTGCTCAGCGAGGAAGGGAGTGTCCGGGAGTCCTGGGTGTCCCTGGGTGATGCCCCGGTCCTCGGTAGGGACTTGGGGTACAGCGTGGTTTTTACTCTCCCAGAGGTGTTTCCTGCCCAGAGCTGAGCTGTCTGTTCTGCCACTTCGGAGACAAAGCCGCCGCATGAAGATCCAGCCGTTCAGGACACAAGACTCTGGAAACAAGGGCCACATGGCTGCCCTTTGAGGTTTCTCTTGTTTGGTTTTTGCAGCCACACCTTGAGAGCACACCGCAGAGCTGGCCCCTCAGGCAGGACGGGCTGGGCCCGGGGCATCCCTGCTGGCACCCCAGCCAGGAGGCGAGGTTGATGGGCCTGCGGAGACCTGCAGAGCCCCTGCCTGGGGGCCCAGCCTCGGGGCAGATTCCCTCGCACTCGCCTGGTCGAGCATCTGAGATGATCTGTGTGACGTGGCTCAGGTGTCAGACCGACCGGGCCTGCTGTCTGCACACTCAGCAGAAGGGCCAGGCTCGATGCCGGTGGCTGCTGCAGCCTCCTCCCCCATCAAAGATGGCTTCTCACCTAACTTGCACAGGTTTGCAGAATCCCCTAGGCCAGGGGTCCTCAAACTTTTTAAACGGGGGGCCAGTTTACTGTCCCTCAGACCGTTGGAGGGCCGGACTATAGTTTAAAAAAAAACTATGAACAAATTCCTATGCACACTGCACATATCTTATTTTGAAATAAAAAAACAAAACGGGAACAAATACAATATTTGTATTTGCATGTGGCCCGCGGGCCGTAGTTTGAGGACCCCTGCCCTAGTCTTCCTGCTGGCCCCTTGGACCAAAATGAGGAATGGCTCCCGTTTGCACAGAGACCTGGGGTCCAGGAGGGCTAGGGCCTGCCCAGGCCTTGGCACCAGGAGGAGGGACAGCGGAAGCAGAGCATGCAGCATGCCGCCGGAGGCAGAAAGCTCCACAACCGGGAGCGACTCTTTTCTTGTGAATCCTCCCCAGAGGATATTTTTTTCCTATTGATATTTTTAGAAAGAATGAAAGGGAGGGGAAGAGACACAGAGAGAGGCACATCGACTGTTTGCCTCCCGCACGTGCCCCAACCAGGGCGGGGTTTGAACCTGCAGCCGAGGTACGTGCCCTTGACCGGAATCAACCCACGACCCTTCAGTCTACAGGCCAATGCTCTAACCACTGAGCAATCAGCTCAGGCTTGGGGAGATGACTTCATATCACATTGAAATGTTTCATTACAGACGGACGGGGACAGGCTGCTGTGAGCAGTGATTCCTCCATCCCAAAGGTGTGAAGGGTCGCGCCCACCTGTCCGGGCTCATAGACGTAGTTTCCACCGTGCTGGCCGTTGGGCCCACGTAACCTTAAGTGACCTTTAGACTCATTTAAAAAAAATAGTCTTGAGCCTGTCCTCTTGGCCGGAGTGACTGCTGAGGACACAGCCAGGACCAGCCTGGAGGCAGCCCTGTCCTGCCCGTGGGGCTCACCTCCCAGGAGGAAGAGGCCACCAGGAAACTAGGAACTAAGAGAATTCAGTAAATGGAAAAGGGGGTTGGGAGTGTCCCCAGGCAGAGGAAGCCCCAACCAGAGCCCCGAGGCTGAAGAGCAGGAAGCCCCCAGCCCACACCCCCAACAGGGGCTCCCCTCCTCCGTGTCAGGTCACGGACTAGCTGCTTAGACCTGCGGTGGGGGCGGGGGAGGGGGAAGTTCAGCCACAAAACAATTTCTACTCCCACCGCCTGCTCAGCACGGAGGGCATTACCTCTGTCTCCGGAACTTTAACCTGAAAGAAGACGAGGAACCTCTTCATCAGGCTCAGGAGGTCAGCAGGCCCCGTACTTTCTCGGGGACCGAAGGTTCGGGTGGCCCACCGTCCCTGTTGGCCCAGAGCCCCCCATGCTGAGAACCTCAGTCCAGGGCAGGGGTGCATGAATGTCCCACACAAACTGTCCCCGCGTTTAGTCACGGAAACTAGTACTCGCGTGTCCGTGGGCTGCTTACACGTCGGCAGTGTGGGCGACTCCGCAGGGACAGTGCGTCTCCGCTCCGTGGTGTGAGCGAGGCTGAGTCCCCTGGATGACCTGGTCTCAGAGGTCACCGGGTGTCACTGGGGCCAGACCCTCCGGCTCTCCATAGGGGATAGCAAGGTTCCGGAAGGGCCCGGGACTGGGAATATATTTGTGGTCGGTTTTGGAAAATTGTCGCAAAAAGTAAATCAGATTGGCCTGTTCGTGAAGCCACTGGCCACACCTAGGTGCCAGGAGAGGCCTGGCAAGCCGTGCCCAGGAAGATGGCCTTTTTCCCCTCCGTGTCCTGCGTCCATGCTCAAGGTTAAGCGAGGGTCACGCCAACCTCTCTGGGTGATGCAGACTTTGACAGGTTTGGCACCAACTCCTGCCACTGCCAGTCTGTGCCGTTGCCCTCAGTTGCCCCTGCCCTTTCTGCCAGTCCAGGGCTGGCATCAGAGGAGGAAGTCCCCAGGTGGCTCCCGTGCCAGGTTCCTGCTCTGTGCTGGTGACCAGCCTGAGCCAAGGCCACAAAGATTCGTTCTCAGGCAGACCAGCCGCACCTAAAACGGTGTGGTCCATATTCTAATCAGATGGCACTGGGTGGCTCTTTCAGGGGAAGGAGGCGGGCAAAGATGTCTTAAAAGAGGTTGGTCCTTGAAAATGGTGAGGGAGCTGAGGGTCTCAACAGCCGGTGCTTGGGGGGCAGGGCGGGGAACCCACAGAAAGGAGGCTGCAGGGCTCAGCTACATGCAGCGACATCGTTCAGATTATAGAATGTGGACGACGAAGAGCCTTAGGAGGGTGATCAGCGCGTGTGACACGGGCGTTTGTGCATTACTGGTGGCTCCGGTGATGAGCTCCTCTGTGTCATCTAAAATGCAAACGCCACATGGACAGGTCACCAGGAGCCCACTGCAGCCCCACGAGCTGAGGGTGGCAGGGGCCCCCCGAGCCCCAAGGGCAGGGCCTGCTCCAGCCCCACCTCTCAGCTGGTGGTCCTGCCTCTGACAACGAGGAGCCCAGGAAAAGGGATGGAAGAGAGGCGGGGGCGTGGGGGGGCGCAAGGTGTCTTTTGGGAGTGAGAGCCAAGACACGCGCAAATCCCATGTTGTTAAAATTACCCTTAAAAACCACCCCCAAGGCCCTGGAGGTGAGCGCACGTGTCCGTGAGTCCGGCTGGCGGCCTCCCCTGTCCTTGGGGTGAGCACAGCACGAAGTGGTGGGCGTGGCCCAGCCCCTTGTAGGAAAGATGTCCATGGAACCTTCAGACACTAGAAGCAGCCGTGAGAGAGGCGGGCCTGAGGAGAGTAAACCAAGAAACAAGCAAGTCCCCTCCTCTCCAGTGAGCATGAAAAGCTACCCTTTCCC